CGTTAAGATAGTTTTCACTGTACTTTCTTAACTTTCAAAATTCTTGCCGGCTTTTAAATCTGCATTAAGCTGTATTCTTTTTGTAGCTTGAAAAGTAACCTTAATAAAAAGAATCAAAGTTATTATTATCATAATATTATTAGGAACTAATTTATATGAATGTGGATGGTATTCGTGGCACTTGAAAGCTATCCTGTCTTACATAGACGAAAAAAAGGAAACACGCCATATTGCAAAGATAATGAGGATACCATAGCGTATTGACATTGTAGAAGCTGGAATTGGCATAATCCCCAAAACAGCTTTAATATTTTCTTGAAAATATTGCTATGACAGAAACGGTTCATGAGTATAATCTGCCACAGACGTTTAAATATGTTGCTTTAATTTTGTTAACCCTCTTGTTAGCTTTATTCCATTTTAAATGGGCGAACTCAGCCATTTGGAACTTCCGAGTAACTGTTTAGCACGCGTTTCAAAATGTCCGCATACCGGCAACTGCATTGCGGTGGAAAGGCAAATTGAATTCCGGACCGTGCAAGAAGTCATCGCTCAAGTCCACTCCTTCGAATGGCCCGTTGGCACTCGCTTGACATATTTTGCGTGCTCTGCGGGCAAATGAATTCGAACTTTAAGTAGATACAGATACGAGTGTTCGTACGCACACAACTCGCAGCTGACAGCTGGGCAAATTTTTCTCTTCGACAGAGAACATTAAAAAATTCCCACCAAAGTGGCATGTGAAAAATATGTAACAAGTTGGAGCCATGCTGTTATTTATGCCGCCACAAAATGTGAATTGAAAACTCAAAACTTGAAGCGGCGCACATGGGGCCCAGCGAATTTGAAAGTATTTGTGTTGTTTGGCCAAAACGTAGGCTGTAGATACCTACATACAAGTACATACATACGAGTACTATATATGTATGTATATACGTATACGTGTTTGTATGGTGTATTAATAACTGGCAGGCGGTGGACAAAAGCATGAGTCGGAAACAAAGGCCGCGCACTTGCTTTTTGTGGGAAGAAAAAATAAATAAATCTCGCGTATATTGAACATGCATGCAGAGTAAAAGTTCAATAATAAAGGCAAGAAACAAAATATACATACATAGTATGTAGAGACGTACAAAAAATGATACATCAAAGCCGCAGACAGTCGATTGTCAGTCGCTCTTGGCAATCACACAGTAGCACTTTTGGTTGTCATAAGTTTTGAGTGATTACCTCGAGGCAAAGCCACACACGGGGGCATGCCAGCGAACAATGGCAGCACAATAGTTGCCAAATGGCACAGACTCGCACATACACATACACCCGTGTATGTACATATCCACTGCGAACACCCACGCTCTTGGTCAATAGTATCTCACATGTACGCATACATTCGCACGCACTGTGCTGTAGTCTGTACAAAAATAACTTGACAATTGTGTTGTGGCTTCTGTTTCTATGTGGGTTGCTACAGTCGTTGCTTTTATATCTGTGGTTGTTGTTGTTGTTGGTGTTGATGTTGTTGTTGTGCATGATTTTGTGCGTCCACTCGCATAACTGGCATACGTGGCGTATGCGCAACGCCAGAGAACAAAGTTTCTTTGATTTCGACCGCACAGACAATTATGATTTTGTGCCAAGTCGGAAATGAAGTTAAGTGTTGTGCGTGCGAATATCTTTCTAGAAGTTTGTTTCCCACTCATTACGGCACATTGACGCTTTTTCTCCGACTCTCATGAATATTAGTTAGGGCTTGGTCTTCCCTAATTAAAGCATTGGGCACAAGTTATGACATGTTGCCTTTTCATAAATTAAAGCGCACTTCCACCATCGTCAGAGATATGGCAAGTGGCAGCTTGGAATAGGAAGCGGCATTATAACAAACCAAATTAATGAGTTGGCGGTTTAAGGATGGTCCATGTGCTTATTTTGTGCACATAATGCTAAGTATAGCGAACTTTCTTAAATCTCCAATGCATGGCTTATCGTATTATGAGTTATCTGCGAGAGTTTTGGAAATGTGCGTCAACATTTATCTACATTATTTGAGCCCTAAATTCAGCTATTCTATTATCGATGGTTTTCTTATTATTGTTTGTAATATCAATTCGATTTCTTTTGCTTTTCGGAACCAATTGGGTAATTTAAACATAAATCAGGCTGTCTCTTTTGTTTTTTAAAGAAGTGGATTATTTTTCAAGCCATCGCTTGATTTTTTTTAATGGACTTTAATTCGAGTTTAAGAGGTTCAGATGTGAGTTTTGACCTAATATTTCAGACATCCATCTATCTGAAGTAATACACAAATAGATACTTATTTTGACACCTATTACCCAAATTGATACGCCGATCGATTTTCCTTTTCTGCTACATACTTACAAGTATTATATATCCTCTTGCCTTATCTTTTCTATATTATTTTAATTTACTTGAATGTGATATTAATTTGTAGGCATTTTACGAAATGAGCTTACAAGGATAACAATTTTTAAACTTACTAGAAATAGCCGGAAAACTCAGAATTCATGTACATCATTTAGTTATGTTTGTTATATTACAATATTTCAAAGGCATTCTTTTTGTGAGGCATGCATAGAATGGTAAAAACATCCAGATGTCATCAGAACCATAAACGTGTTTTAAATTAGAATATTTTAAATTAAATATTTAAATATTTTAAACTAAATAAAATTATGAGTTGACATAAGCAGTTTTATTCAAATATAGAAGTCCCCTTTTTCTTTTGAACCAGCTTATAATGTTTCATTTTTAGAGTGTGTGGTGTGTGTGTGTTAACCAAAAACATTTATGTTTTTATTTAGTACTGCCGTACATTTCCAATTCTTTGAAGTGGGCCCACGCCTCCACCGTGCTGCAAGCCATCATCGGCCTGCAAGTCTTTCGAAGCAATTAAGATATAAGCTGATGAGACACAATACAGACAGAAACATCTGGAAAGTTATACATTGTGAGTGACTTGACAGTAAAAGGAGAGCTCAAAGTATGTCCTGCAAGTGATAGAAGAAAATGTGTTTGCTCTGAGCAAAGTGTGCGGGCGTAGCCATGGGTTGCATAGGAATGTGGGCAAGGGGTAAGTGGCACTTGAGTGTCTGCTTCGCATAGCAACACTACTGCCACTGCTGGGACCAATTGGCAGAGCTGTTGTTGGCTGTGGTATGGTCTGTGGAATGTAGAAAATGAGAAAAGTCCCGACTATGCAGCTTGCAGACGGACACGCTATCCGTATGGCCTTTTGCGTTTTTCTACGTCTGCATATTTTCTTTGGCAATCGTTTTATGATGCCTTGGTTGCCATGAAATGGAACATAAGAAAAATGCAAAGGCTTTGCATTCAATAGGATTTAGATATGCAAATATTTGCTTTATCTCTCTTGTGACGCAATGCGGAATGAAAAGTAGCTTAGTGTCGGCTACTGAGCAGGAATTGCTGCGATCAATGAAGCGTGTCGCTATGCAAGTAAATTTGGGAAATTAAATAAATACAAATAAAATATTTGAATATGTGGTGTTATGTTAGGCACGAGGTCGTCTATTCAAAAATGTAATGACTTTTATATCTTCTATACATCGACCATAGCGTACAAACTATGGATACATATGTATCTATGTACATATTTTATATGTAATAGCGTAAAGTTTGTAGTAGAAATCACGATAGCTCCGAAATGGAGAATGAGAATGGAGATAATAGATCTCGTACGGTTGGAAAACCCATTCTCTCAGAATTTTTGTGTCTAAAGTTCCTTTCGAAATATAAGTAGGTTATGAATTTTGAAAGTATTTAATTACAATCTGAAGGTTCATGAAAATCGTAGATGAAATAGTAACTAGTGGTGATAAAAAATATGGTCTAATGAAAGGACCGTGGTTCAGAGAAAAGGCGTATATTTAAGATTCGGACTTACACGACCTTACCGTTCGCCATAAAACTTAAATGGTGGTGTTCATATGATCACAACAACTTACTTCAGACAATGACAGTCCTTAACTTAATCATAGTTTTTGGCAGCTATGACTATGAATGTTAATATTTTTTTTACAGAAAACATAGAATTATTGGCCATATAAATTGATATTTTTTTTGATCCTTTAGATCGGAAAACCGCTTGGTGGAAGTGCGAAAATAACTCATTAAAATAGTGTAAACGGCACAATGAAGATCATTAATAATATTTATATCGATCTAAAATTTAATCACATCCCTCACAGAAGTCTAATCGCAATACAAATAGTCAGCTCGAAAAAAAAAACTAGTTAGGCTTGTCATTGTAGAGCGCAAGAAAAAGAGGGCGGCGCTACGTCGAAATTGCAGCCATACTACGAAAATTCATTGGTTCTGTTTGAACTCGCAACTGCTCTGACACACAAGAAAAGGCGGCATATGCCGTACTCTTCTGACACAGACAACAAGGGCGCTAGCGTTTTTGCTCCGCTCTCGCAATGATCGTTTTGTGGTTGTTTTTCTTTCCTGTTTGCTCGCTCGCTCGCGCGCAGCAACAACAACGAGCAAAACACCCTCGTCGCTTACACTGCGTGGGCTGCTGGCTTGTTTGTTTGTTGTTGGTGTTGCAGCCAGAAACTTGTTTGTTGTTCTTGCTTTGTTTTTGTTTCGGACAGCATGCAATGCTTCGCTGCTGCCGATGCGTCGCCGCCGCCGTCGCTGCTGCAGCAGCTTCGTCTGAGAATCTCAGAAATTCGTTTTAGTCTTGGTTGTTGACCGTTTCAAAATCAGTTTAGAGCTGTCAAGCAAACGAGAAGCATCACTGCAGCAGAGCAAAGCCGTTGCGCATGCGCAGTTCAAAATAATAAAAAAAAAACAAATAAGAAAAGTGTTCAAATAGAAACAAGTTGTATCGCATTTTTGTGTTGTTTAAAAAAAATACCATAGCCATCGTGTTTATATACCGAAAAAAAGACTGTCTACCGAGTGCATCTCATTACTTAAAAGCGGATTACATTCGACGAAAACTGAAAATCTAAAGCATGGCAGTGTCGGCTCTGAATATGACACCCTACTTTGCTGGATATCCCTTTCAAGGTAAGCAACGTTGTCTGCCACTCGGTCTACTATGAGTTTGTCTTCTTCGACTTCATCTACCAATTACCACAATTACAAAACCCGGCCGCCAGACATAGAAAACTGCCTGATCATCGTCTGCTCTACGCTTTCGCCTTTCCGCAGTTACAACGAGATCATTACCCGCGTCCAGCCACAGTCTCAGCTTCAGTTTCAGCTTCAGCATCAGTGCCAGCTTCAACCTCAACCATCATGATCAGCTTTTTGACTTATTGATTGTGATCGTAACTTGCAGGCGTCCATATATTCGTATGTTCGTTCGCTCGATCGCCTGCTCCCCACATTTCCAACTTCGCAGACTTTTTGGCGCGTTCGGCTTTTACGCTTTGATCTTGACTCAGCGTCTCAGCGGCCGCGTCACGTACAAACTGGCCGGCAGCAGCCCAGTCAGAGTCTGTCCGAGCTCCCCAACAACAGCAGCTCAAACATTTTGGGTCGGCCTTTTTATATTATATATTAGCTGGCACAGCTGGAGCTACAACCGAGAGCTCTGAGCTCTTTGCTGGGCCACTGCAGCGCTTATGGATTATTAGTTTGATTTGATTGCATGGCCAGCTGTGCCTGTGTCTGTATCTGTGTCTGTGTCTGTGATGCGACCGCGGTCGCTGCCTCTGTTGCATGATCGGCATTTTCCATGCTTACTGCTTTCTTTTAGAGCTGATATGCTCATGTAGCATTGTAGTTGTTGTTACCATCGTGGCCTACGCAAATTGGCAATTTGCGCTTTGTTTTGTTTACATGCGATTGCACACAGTCGAAAATGGCAAAAGAAATACAAGTACTACATATATGCATGTATTTAGTTTTTGGCATGAAAACAAAAGATCGTGCGAACTGATCCTCAAAACAAAGGATTTTTCAAGTGGCCTGTGCAATTGTAATGGGATTACTTATTGCCGCTCAATTGCAGAAGCATGGAACAAAAGTTAATTGAAGCGAGATCCCTCACAGAGCTCATCAGCTCAGTCAGATCAGAAATATCAGTTAGATTAGCTCAATGACCATCTCCAAAAAAGGCCACACACATATCCTTGCTAATCACATGTCTATGGTTTTCTTATTTGCTTGCAGGACAGGGACGTGTCAATCAACTTGGCGGCGTCTTCATTAACGGCCGTCCTCTGCCGAATCACATTCGTCGCCAGATCGTGGAAATGGCTGCCGCTGGCGTCCGGCCCTGCGTCATTTCGCGCCAGTTACGTGTTTCCCATGGCTGTGTATCCAAGATTCTGAATCGCTTCCAGGAGACCGGCTCCATTCGTCCCGGCGTTATTGGCGGCAGCAAGCCACGAGTGGCCACTCCCGACATTGAGGCGCGGATTGAGGAGCTCAAGCAGTCACAGCCGGGCATCTTCAGCTGGGAAATACGTGCCAAGCTCATTGAGGCAGGTGTGTGCGACAAACAGAATGCACCCTCAGTGAGCTCCATCAGCCGTCTGCTACGCGGCGGCGGCGCTTCTACAGCCACCAATGGCCACAGCATCGATGGCATCCTGGGCGGAGCGGCCTCAGCTTCAGCGGGCAGCGAGGACGAGAGCGAGGACGACACTGAACCGAGTGTACAATTGAAACGCAAGCAGAGACGCTCGCGCACCACCTTCTCCAACGATCAGATCGATGCGCTGGAGCGCATTTTCGCCCGCACCCAGTATCCGGATGTATACACTCGCGAAGAGCTGGCCCAGAGCACAGGTCTAACGGAGGCGCGTGTCCAGGTGTGGTTCTCCAACAGACGAGCACGTCTACGCAAGCAACTGAACACACAGCAGGTGCCCAGCTTTGGCAGCAGCGCATCCAGCGGATTTGGAGCCCCCACTCAGTACAACAGCAGCGCTGCGGTCACCTCAGCCGGCAATATGGGTCTATACGGTGCTGCTTCAGCTTGGCCAGCGACCACTCCGGCAGCTCCGTATGAGCCACATGCTGGCTTTTCGGGATCTGTGGCCTCCATGTCGCCTGCTAGCAGCAGCAGCAGCTCCGCCTCGCACAGCCCTGTCCAGCATGGCAGCGCAGTATCTGCGACGACATCAGCGCAGAATGCCGGCGTGGGAAGCTTCATTAGCCCATCGGCTTATGGGATGGGAGCCAGCAATGCGGGATACACCAGCTCCACATCAGCCGCCTACTCCATGCCGCCCACTTCCAGCTTTGCCAGTGCTGCCGCCACCTCTGCTGAGCAACTTCGTTCCCAGTTCGCAAATGCCGCCGCATCGGGCTCGCATCATCCCTCCTCATGGGACAGCTACAACTTTGCCGGGTCCTTCTTTCCAGGCGCCAGCGGCAACCACATGAGTGGCTATCATCAGTCGATGGCCGACCAAAAGACCACCGCCGCCCCAGCCTACCCCTACTTCGGTTTTTAGTTAACCTTCGCCGAACACGAGGTCCAGTTTTTATGTTTAAGTTAGACTTTTGTCCATAGCTGGTTCTATTTCTCTTAATAATTTCTCGTTGATTTTTTTAACTCAAACGGAATTCCACATCTTGGATCTGATTTATTTAAATAATTAAAAGAAATGTTATTAAGAGCCTGAGACTGTTTGAAATTGTAGTTGTAATAATCTAAGAATATATTATATATAGAATCAAGTACTCAGTTAATGCATTAAATATAATCAAATAAATAGAATATGTGAGATCGCCACCTGATAACTTTATTTTTGTTTTTGCTTTTTTAACCGGATCCCGAATGCATGGGTGGAGAGTTGTCTTATAAATAAACGCTCTGGTTGGCACAGTAACGATCCGTTAGTGAACTCGTTTTACGAAGTTATTCTCGTTAAATGTTAGGAAGTTAGTTGTCCCGCCCTTAGTTTCTTTGTCTGCATATAAGTATTTGTCGTCATTAGCACAAAAGCAACGCACTTTATCGCCAATGTGACTTGAGTTTCTGGTTTTATGAAAACATTAGAGAAATACATATCTTCAAGAAGATTTTTAATAATATTCTTCCTTAATTTTTGGATCTAAATTTCTTTAACTTCTTTCCATCATACTCCTATTCCTGCATCAGTTTCTAAGCGTATTTAAATTTTAGCTTATAGCCATTCAAGCGTTTATTCCACCATTCATTGGTTTATTAAAATAAATAAATGAAATAAAATTTTACGTGAAGGAGTATTTTTGGGTTTCGAACTTTTATCAATTTTGATAAAAGAAAGGAAACGTAAAAAAATCGGTTTCGTTATTTTCGGTGTTAGTTGAATTTGATATTTTAGGGCTTAACAATTTATGTGTTATATAGGTTTATGCGGAACCGCTAATCCTTTGAAATAGTTTCAAATGTGTTTACTAAAGTGACAGTCGAACAAAAAGTGAACATGACAGGACAGCAACGTCATCAAAAGCCGCACCCACCAAAACCGATATGTTCCGAAATCCAATGCCTGTGTGTGTTCCCGAGCTCTGCGAGGGCGCTGCAATGACAAGCCAACTCATGATCTGACAATTAAACAATTAGAGACAAACGCACAATTGTTGGAAACACGTTTTGTGGCCAACAGGACAGAGAGTGTAGCTAGGACTCGATAATACGAAAATAATTTACGAAATTGTGCATTGTTTAGTCTTACACTGGTATTGTGAACTGAAAAAACCCAGGACCCACACGCAAGACAGTTAGACAGTTGGCAACAAAATAGAGCAATTGACAATGGGATGCGCAAAATATGAAAAAGCAGAGAAAGATGAGCGCACGACGACCACCAACGAGCGATCGAGACGATCAGGTCTTTCAAAGAGACCGGCCGCCGCCTGTGTTGTGGGCCTGGACCTGTTAGTGGCCCGAAGATGAGAGTACAAAGCCGACCTAGAGACGGGAGTTGACAAAGCCATTGACAAAATGCTGGGAGTAACACGAAGTGCCTTCTGTCGGCGAGGGAGGCCTGCACTAGTTACGGACGATCTGCATTCTCGACTAGGGAGGTAGTTCGACTCTCCGCTCAATTATGTGTGCACAGCGGGCGTCGCACTTACCACCTAGAATGAATACACACCCTGCCCTTCCCTCATCGTTGAGTTGCTGAGACTCTGGGACTGAAATGAAAACATCAATTAGTTCATATCGGCAGGTCCAGTACGAAAGAGGCCCAAAGACTACGAAGACTCTGTACGTGCTGGAGAACAACGATGTCGAAGACGATGTCGAAGACGATGTCGACGACAGGTTCGCTGTTTGTAGCGCTCGGCTACAAGGGTGCTAATGTGTGTCAACTGTGACAATCATAATTGATCGTCCTTGTTGTCCTTGCTTGCTGCGGGTCCTTCGGCTTGTCTGTCCTAGAGTGCAGGAAGTTCTATTTTGTCGGCGCGCATCTCAGCATACAGTAGCCTGCGGCTTCGTTTGTGCCTATCTTCTTCGTCCTGGGCCACCAACTTGGATATTTTCATATAAATTACATTTCTGTGGTAACACGAGAGTCGAGTAAGGGGCCAAGCCTGGTACCGGGCCTAGTGTGCGGCACATTTGACAAAACTGTTGAAAGGCACTTCGACTTGGCCCGCAGAGCTCTCGTGATTTATGTATTTTTGATAGCTGGGCCAGTTACTACTTCGGCATCCGCATTACTGGGCCATGCGAATTTTTCCCTCAACTTCCTGTGTGGCCAACTGGCCAAGGGTCCGTGCACAGTAGCAGAAAATCATGTGTCTCGTATGCGATTTCAGCGTTTTGATTGATGATCGCTTTGATGAACGAGCGAATGTTGATGCCTTTGTGGCTAGTGAGAACTTGGTTAACCGTCTCCGTCTTGCTCTGGCTAAATTACTGCTAAAGTATTGCACCAATAATAAAGGCTTAACGTAAATTTGAATCAAACTAATTCGTGAATATGAAATATTTTGATACTTCGAGCGGCAGCTTATTTATGTGTATTTTCTAATACTACAAGTATGCTTGTGCGGAGACAAATCGTTTGATGATAGCAACCGCGTAAGCATATTTGACCTAAATCTAGACTTTCCTTTTTAAAACAAAATGGAAATTTATATTATTAAATATTAATCTCTGGGTAGAATGAATGGAAACCTATATTTACATTTACAAGAAACCAGTTCGGAATGTTAACTCCTAACTACAATTGCTTCAAATACGGACCGTTTCGATATTGCTTTGATTTTGAAAATGTTGGATATATAGTATATGTCCTTATGTCTCTGATATAAATTTGCGCAGGCCTAATCAACCTTTCACGTTACGGATATAGGGTATACAAATAAGTTTCATCAGCCGGGAGTCGCGCATCCACAAATTCAGAAATAAATAAAAAATGCATTTTAATGAACGAAAAGCAGAAAGTATTGATGCAGTGGGCTAAATAAAATTCAAGTAAAATAAAGTGTCCCATTTTTATATCACAAGTTTTTATTTGTTCTATGAGGAAGATCCCTTCCATCCCTACCTCCAGATAAGCTCAATTGCTGGCACACCTGCTTGCAATGAACCCGAAGAGGCATGTCCGCACCTTCCCATGGAAGACATTGTACAACAGCGATTGTCGAACTTCGGGGCCTCGACAATAATGACGAGGACGTCGCTGCTGGCATAATTAAAAAGCTCGCATGCGTTACCCAAACACAACGCCTATCGAATTTTCGAAGCGAATTCATCAAAATTCATGCGTAAATTTCCGCTGTACGCGCCTTCGAGCTCTTTCGCAGCGCACAGAGCTCGTCTCGATTTTCAGTTGGGAGCAGGACCGGACCAGCCGAAGAACCGCAAAGGCACAAAGATAAATAGCAAGAAGACAGAAACATTGTGTGAACTTGAAATGAAACGGTTCCGATTGTTCCGCTCTAAATTTGCGTTACGTAATGGAATTTAAAGCGTTCCTTATCAGATTGGTCTTGATGCGTTATCAACGCTTGCTGCGAACCATGCGAGCTGAAGCCTGCGCTATTGCCGTCTCGCTCCCTTCCGGTTTCTGCTGGCGCACCAGTTGGTGTTTTCATTTTCTGTTTCGGTTGCGCCATTTAATATACGTAAATAATTCATAATGAATATATGATAAATATTTTTTGGCGTGTGCTTCAAATGAGCGCGCATGAGTACGTGAAAAATTGGCGGAAAATTTCATCAACACTTGTAGATTTTGTTTTGGACGCCAAATCGCAGACATGTTTCGGTTCCGAATTGTTTCGGGCAATTAACGGTTGCAGTCTCGATTGGACTCGAATAATTTGAGTGTGATTAACGGATGGGTGCGTAACGGGATTAGGTAGCTCACCAGATCGATTTGAATAAATATCAATGTACAGCACTTATGGCTAGTGTTTAGGATGTTAATCCACGATTAGTTTTTTTTTTTCGAACTGGTGAGTGGAACAATCGAAATATGAAATTTATATTGGTTTGCTAATTTCGATTAAAATATACGTGAACAATATTTCTCTCTGATTAAGAATATAGATAATCTGGACGATTTCAAAATATTATTTAACCCTTAGCTATTAAGCCGGTTTATTGTACAACGAATTTTAGTTACTCTGGCAGTTGACATAATTTAAAATTAATTATAAGTTACAAAAATGTAGATATGAATAATTAAATACTGCTTGAAAATGAAAATAAAACATAGGAAGAACTATACTATATTTCCGTAATGATTATTTCAAATCATCACTGATTGATTTTATTGGTTTAATTAGTGATCTGCTTTAAAGATCCAGTTGTGAACGTTTTCGCTTGTGTCGTCTCACTTCTGAGGGAATGCTGCACATTTCGGTGGCAAGCCAATCCGAATGCAGTACGGACTCTAGTCCTGCCATTAAGTCTCGTCTTACAATGTCCGCATGCTGCAGCGGCATGCACTTGAGTAATGCAATTGAGACCGTTTGAGGCAGCCGGTACCACAATGTCTGCGCACACAGCCAATGACGATGACGTAGATCCAGAGGCAGTCCGGCAACCAAATAACATTATAATTCAATCAGAAGCCATCCCATGCCCAAGTACAGGACAGAGTCTGAATGATTGTGCAGCTGCAAGACGATTTTGGATTGCAGTCAGTAGAGAGTGAAGGGGAGGGGCAGAGCAGGGCCACTTAGGCGGCGGCAGCCAGACAAACTGGCAACGGCAATGGCCAACAAATTGTTGTGGCAGCTATTGTTGTCGTTGGTGTTGTTGCTGGCGTTCCTTGGCTGGTTCGTATTATTGCCAGCAATTGCAGAAATCATCAAAGTGGCAACATGTAATTTGTTGTTGGCCGCATACCCGAAGAGTCAGAGTGGCAATCCATCGCTGGTGGTGGCAGCAGCTCAGAGCCGCTCAACCACTGAAAGCCAGCGGCGAGTTTCTTTGAGCTGCAACCAGAGACATTAAGCGAGCGTTAAAATGTGGAAGAGAGCGCTGAGCTGTGATTACGAT